CAAACAAACACAAAAGGTTAAAAAAATCAGAAACTAAGTAAAAGGATGGAAAAGAGATAAATGGGGTTTAGGAGCTAAGCATGTAAATATTTAAACAGCTGTCATACAAAGCTCGAAAGACCTCCTTTTTCAAATAAATAGGATGCAATGCTGGCTTATACTTCCTTCTTACTGCTGGAGTTTCTACATCCACAGTTTTTTGTTCTGAGCTGAACAATAAGCTCTGAGCTGGGAATTCCTATTGCTCATTTATTTGGTACCCAGTGGAAGAGGCCCCTGCTTTTTGACCAAGGCATTGTAATTTCAAATTATTAAAATCCTATGATGCTAAATTGCTTTTCCAAGACATTACCACTAAGGGTCACATAAAATCACATCAGTGTATAGGAAATAAACTCCAGATCCTCTGTGCTAATAACTAGAGAACAAAATAATTTCCAAAAAATTTCTCTCTCTCCTTAGTTTTATTTTGAGATTTGGCATCTTGCCTCTCATCATGATATTCCTTCTTCCTAAGACAGTAACCTTTGGTTCCAGAGGACATTTGGTACAAGTTAAAACATGATACTCAAAAAGGGGACCTTAAAGCCAGCCAGTTTTTGATTTGTGATGTATATGGGTGAGTTGGTAGCAAGGATGGAGTTTGAAATGTATGGAAACATACACTACATAGAGGGAAGGAATTATTTCAGATAATTAGGCGCACAAGTAGAAATTTGGCACCTCTGCTATTTAATATTCCGCACTATTTCTGGTTTAAATGATAATATAAAATATTTTATATAGGTTATTTATAATTACAGGAAAACACAGAGTATGGGGAGATTCACGAGCTCAACGACAGAAGAACAGTTTGTAGAGGGAAAATACATGGTGAAGTTTGAAACCAGCTCCTACTGGAAGGCGCTCGGGCTTTCTGCATTCCATGAATACGCTGATGTGAAGTAGTGGCAAACATCCCTTGATAACCAGTACACACTGTCTGTGTAGTGGCATCAGTTTGGAAAAAGCAAACACAGCCCTTTAATACTGAAGGAGCAGCAACACACAGTGAAGTGGTTCACTGCCACACAGCCACTGGGGCAAATAAAGGCAGTAAAACATCCAGCTAAGCCACAGGAAGGAGCCAAAATTCCCTGCAAAATGCTGACACAGGTCTTTCAAAACGTAGCTGCCACCCATTCACCCCCTTATACCAGTAGGGAATCTTGCTTGAAAAGAGATTACATTATTCAATAGTAGACAGTGTTTATAAAAACAAACAAGGAAAAAAAAAAAAAAAAAAAGACTGCTTTTTCTGATGCTGAAGGAATGGAGAGATTTGGAAACCCTAATTTTATAGTAAATAAGTTGTGTTTATATCAGAGGTATTCCACCCGTATCAGTCACATGAAAATCCCTGAATTCTAATATGAACATGTAATTACAAAAAAAACTCCAATTATTTCTGGTGTGCCTTTTTTTTTTTTTAATGATATTCAATACCAAAATATACAAGCTAAAAATAAAGAAGGTATGAAAAAAGTAAAGAAATACATAGTGGGAAAGGAAAAGTTGTCTATTTTGTTGATACTCAAATTTCACAAGCAGGCCCAGCAATGTGATAATGTCCTGTCTCTCCCTTTGCTTTCATTTTAATTTTATTGTGTACTCTATTCTACTACATTTACTTAGCACATTCCAAAAATCTGTTTAAATTCTTCAGGCTTAATCTGTCATGAAATTTAAGGTTCCCCAACTTAAGTACTCTGGAACAGGTGCTGGTGGTGTTGTAGAACATTTCAAACCACAAGTTCATGAGCTCTAGTGGAAGACTAAAGGAAATGACTGAGTCCAGGTCCATTAAATCTGAGGTGCCATTTGGGTGATTTAGGTCAAAAAATGAAACCTCAAAAGTTTCCCTAACCATTTGTATTCTGAAAGTTGTAAGGGCTACACCTCAGAAGGTGCTTAAATTGCCTGACTGAGATTGTTTCCAGCTAGGCTGAAGAAGCTTTTCCTTGACATAATATAGCCTAACAGGCCAACAAGCTAGCCTGGGAAGTGGGGAGAGTTCAGGGACTGCCTGTGTACAGAGTAAACTGAAGCTACAGTCCTCAGAAGCTTAGACTTTGGTTGTAAGAGAGAACTCTCTAGTCTACTTATAGAAAGTGTCTCATGGTTTAGAAAATATATCAAATAGTAGGCTAAGAAAGCTGGATTTCTGATTTTTTAACCCAGGTGACAATACTTTCCTTTCTCATTGGACTAATTTGAAGAGCAGCAGATTTGAATTGTCTTAGGTAAGGTCTCTTGTTGTTCTGGCAAATCTAGCCACTCAGTTCTTAATGCAAAAACTCACCCATCACCAGCTGTCTTAAAAACAGGAGGGGGCACTGAAGTACAGAAAATAGCTTTGGGCTCCATCTGCCTGCCTTGTTTGGTCACATCACACAGGAGTTGTATTTAAATTCCCTAGGTGGAATTTCACCCCTGTCTTTCTTACTGGTCATTTGAGATACCTCCCCCTTAGCCTCCTATTCCACATCACAAAGCAGTTTGCCCGGCTCAGGTGTGGGTACTTCCATCCAGCTTCACCGCAGCTGAGGCTCTCTGTGGACCTCGGCCCAATTGTCACAAATATCTCAGTCCTTGGCAATCACAAAGTAACGGGAAGCATTACCCTTCAGAGGGGTAAAAGCACTGAGCAGGACCAGCAAAGTGCTCTGCAGATGAAGTGGGGTGTGCTGTCTAGTTGTTAATAAGGGAGCTTTGGCTGTATTGCTGTTCATCATGACCACGAGTGTTCCCTTTTCCAGGTGGTGTTCACTGCTAATGATTCCGGTCACCGCCACTACACCATCGCCGCTCTCCTCAGCCCTTTCTCCTACTCAACCACTGCTGTTGTCACTGATCCCCAGGAATAAACATGTACTGTCTTTTTCACACTTTCCTCCACTAGAACTATCATAGGCTTTTATGGGAGGAAGGTTTTTCCTACTGCTAATGCATAACTTTTTGCTACATTAGTAGTTGTTTTTTTTTTTCCATTTTGTAACCTGGTAAACTTCAGACAAGTCAATAAAATATTACTTCTTTAAAACAATTTGGACTCAATTAGTGGAATTTTATTGTTTTCTAAAGTATTATGATTTGCATTAAAGTGCACAGGACATATGAAAAACACACATGGGATGACACTTTATTTAGTTTTGTTATCTTCCTCCACTGCCTTAAAGAAGTCTCACCAAAGACATTGGCTCAAAACAAGAAATTCATATAGTTGTGTTACCTTAAAAAAATTACCAAATAAATGCACTCAAAATAAGAAAGTAATCTGTGCTGCTCCAAGTCTTCACACAGAATATATGGTCCCACTATCAACCAGGTCACAGGGTGAATAAGTGAAATTCTGAATACCTAGCAGAAGAACAAACAATGCACAAACCATTGAAATAAGTATGTCCAGAGAGCTGAAAGAATTAAAACCTGTGTACCTTTACTTAAAACTTCAGGTAAAACTCAACATGATGTTTCAAGAGGAAAGCTGTCTGCTCAATCAATCTTAGTACTGAAGTAATTTCAATTAGCACTTTTTTTAACATCTTTGATTAAAGTAATTATTTGACATCGCACACCCTATATAGGTGGATTCCAGTTAAATCCCTAATAAATCAAATCTATAGCCATCATTAAAAAGAAATCCAAAAAGACAAGCGTCATTTTAATAATCTCTTCATATTTTTAGAAACAGGAAAAGGTAAGCTTAGAGTGACGGTGATTCAAATAAAGTTGCTGATTTCTATCCCGTGGCCTATTGTATTTACAATATCCTGAAGGAGAGGAATTGGTTTTAACTGGATTACATAAATTAGAGAGTAAGAAACTGAAATCATGCCAGCCAGAAATCTGCAGCACTCATTTGCCACTGACCTCGGAGTTTATACCCAGAGCCTGCTGGGATGACAGCATGGCAAGTGAATCCACAAGTTGCAAAAGCTTGCCATTAACGTTTCACTGGTTACTTTTCCACAGATTTCTAGATGTTAGCATAGTTACACAACTCTTGTAAGCAGTGCAAACAGTTTCAAAACAGCATCCATCATAAAGTATGGAGAATTCATGGGATCCTGATATTCCTGGAGCTTGAAAACCGATAGGTTTCATTTGAAGTGTGTTATGCTAAGCCCTCAAAATAGGACCTAAATTTGCTCATATAGATATATTTGGGAAAAAAAAATTACACCAAAACAACAAAACAAAGAGAAAAAAACTACTCTGCATGTAGTCATCCCTGTGATGAGAGGATAACCCTAGTAAAAAAGTGTATGTACATATGTCTGACCAAAGATCAGAAATAAAAAACTGAATTTTGTGAAGTCACATTTCCCTCAATTGAACCAGCATCAATGATGCCTCTGGTAGGAGTTGACTTGTAGTTATATGAGGAAAGTCCTGAGCTTGTACTGAATCTAAGGGACAAGAGACACAACTTAAAATACTGTTAAATTGTACTTCAGAAGTTGATGTGTAGGTATCTTGATGCCATGCTGAAAACCAAAAGCAATATATTTTTCTTCCTAGGGAATGTGCAAGATAAAAAAGTAGGCCACAGATTATCCACCTATCTTTTATTAGAGCTGGGGAGGAGACTGACACAGAGAGAAATCTCTTAATATATGAACATGGGTGACTCAGTTAAACCAAGCCATAACCACAGAGAATTTTTCACTGAAATTGCTGTGTTGACATAAAATTTGCATTTCTCTCAGTTATATGAGGTCAGTACAACATTATTCCTCAATAAAAAGAGAAAAATACAGAATAGACATTTCTTCCAAGAAAATTGACACAGTAGTTGAACTAGGCAACGTTCACAATATTTCCACAGACAAGGATAGAAAATACTTCTTTTCACAGACAAGGTTCATGTTTGTATGGGTTACTTATTTTCTCATTGTTTACTAAGTAAATAGTATGAATCTACATGTTGAAAGTCATAGGGGTTTTCTGATAAGTAGCTTCATCTCAGAGGCCTTGATATAAAAATCACAGGTCCCACCATTTTCTGCTTGCCGACACAGACTTCCTAGTGGCAGGCAAAATGGCTTTTCATTCTGTATTTCTGGTTTTCTTAGCTGGCCTGGTACTTTGCTCCGAAGCTTCACCATTGGTAAGTGTCTCAGAACTGAAGTCCTTCTACTGATGCAGTCACAATTCTTTTCTTTTACTGTTTTTAACTTTGTGTAAGTGATAGAATATTCTATTTTTTTAATTCTAATTTTGATTTTACAGTATGTACTGACTGTACTTCTCTGCTGCTGCTCTTTTCTGGTCCTTCTTTCTCTAGTGATTAGTGAGAGGACTTTATGGGTAGAGAAGTAGCACTTGCCATTAGACATGGCAACTACATGAAAAACAACGTAAAACAAGAAAGGAAAAACTATCATATTTGCTAGACAAAAAACCTTGAGCCTTCATAACATAATGAACAAGCTGTGTCATGAGGAATTTCATCTCCTGTTGCAAAACCCATGCTGGAGAAAGGCCTTCTCTAGACTTCTGCCTTACTGCTCTACCCGCTACAGCTTAATCCCATGTAAGTAAAGAACAGATCTAAAGCCAGGATTCTTCTTCCAGAGGGCTCATTTATCCCAGGAGAGCAAGCTAAAGACTCAGGTGCTTCAGCCTGAAATTCTCCTACAACAGCCTTGTCTCTTTCTCCTTAACTACTTATTTTTCCTCTCAACTCTGATCTTTGGGAAAATAATACCTGGCTAATGTTGTTGAGGAATTAGACTTGTATTGAGTTCCCAGGGTGTAAAATCGGTGGTGGCAGTGCAGCCCTTCTTGCCAAGGCCTCACGAGTACCACCGGTGAGGAGCCCTGCATTCCAGAGAGGGAGCATGAGGAATCTGGGCATACAGGCAGTATAGATACATGCTGATACATTGGTATGATACCAGACAGGGTTCTTGACCCATGGAACATGTAAGAAGGCATGAAAGAGAGGGCTCTCAATTTTTAACCATCTACATCACAACTGCTTTTACGATGATTAAATGGATATCAGTGACTGCTATTTTGAGATCATCCCTGATTAGCACCTTCTACAAAGCTCTGTTTTCTCAGTCTTCATCTGCAGAATTAGGTAAGATCAAAGCCCTGATTCAACTCTGTTTTTGAAAAGGTAAAACATCAGGCCATAATCACTATTTGTATTGAATATATTGGGATGAAACTATAGCCATCTTGTATTTGAAGGAACTTTTTCCTCTCCTGTCCTTGTGTAGCTGCTAGAGTTGATAAATATGATTCAATATGCTGTCTGGGAGAGAGTCTGTATGTGGTCTTATCATGTTTACAGTAGAATTGTAACTCTGTGGCCACAGAGGTAACTCTATGGCAACAAGGTATCAGAGGCTCTCAAAGCCAGAAAGCTGTGCTCAAATTGCCAGTCCAAAATACAGAGGAAGAGTTGGCAGATATTTAAACATTTCTGCTACCTTTGGGGATGTAATTATTTCCTGTTGAGGCCACAATTTAGTTACAACTTCATGCTGGAGATGATGTGTAGCTAAACCATGCCAAAGAAAAAAATAGAAATGTGGTCTCAGCTGCAGTGGCTCCTTAGTGTACATGGCTACATGCCAAACAGCTCCTGAAATCTTCCTTCCTGGCTCTACCATATCCAGCCCCCAGAAAGTTTCAAATTATGTTTCCTCAGTACACAGCAAGATTCTCGTGGAAAATATGGTTTCTATCGTAGATCTGAAGAATATTCCTTACTGTTTTATGATGCAATGTCACTTACCCTTCTTGCAACATAAAAATTCTCTCTTCCTATCGCAGGACCCTCTTGATGCCAAGCATCCTCTTTTCGTAAAAGTTGTGGATTCCGTCCGAGGAAGTCCAGCTCCAAATGTTGCAGTTAAATTATATAAAGAAGCTGCAGATGGATCTTGGGAACTGTTAAATTCTAAGTAAGTCACACTAAAACAATGAGTGAAAGATGGGAAAGGCAATAGGAAGAAGCCAAATAGCTGAAAGAGCAGTTACACATTCTCTAAAGTGAGATGTCTGCTTTGCTGAGAGGAAAGATAACTACAATTGAATTAACTTGCTGCAGACTGTCTTCTAAATGTACTGTAGTTTCAACTAAAAAAAAAAATGGTTTATAATGCTTTATAAATCTCATGAATGCAAGAAAGTATTTTAAGCTATCCTTTAATTCAGTCATCACTTCTCTTCAGTTTCATTGCAAAGGTCTATACTACCTTTAAGTACCCAGCAATGAACTGCTGCATTGTTACCAGAAGTATCATATGGACTTTTACATTTTGAAACCAAGACTCTTATCGAGAATCCTAACTTTATTGGCCATTTTCCATCTTTCTAAATGGATTTTCATTCTCACAACACCACAGTTTTAAAAAGAAACTGTTTTGAACATATACCACATCATATTTGATAGCCTTCTTTTCTTCAGATAAAGGACTTAGCCAAAAAGAGAAAATTTGGGGATAAATCTTTCCTCACCTTCTCCCCCACAAAGAGGAAACCATACCTCAAATAATAAAAAAGAATCTCCAGATATATAAATATTGCCATGTCTTTTGAAAAACACAACTGTAGAATTTAAGATGCAGATGACTTTTTAAAATTGCCTTCTACTTCAGTATATATTAACACTTAAAAAAAATAAAAAGCAATTTTTACTTAAAGTACAGCCTGAAATTAAATTGGAAAAATTCTTAGGGGATACACAGAATGAGTATTCTTTATTCACCAAGCAATATTCCACTTCCACACTAAGCTCCGCATGATAGTTGCAAAGTCTCATCTGAGACCTTTCCAGGGATGCAAACAGTCTATTACACCTTAAAAAAATAGTGAGAAAGGGCTCTTAAGGCCTAAAGCTGGCATAGCCCATGAACTTCAACTGTAATCCCGGACTTAGATGTATTTCTAGAAATTTCTGCAGAAACTGTTCATACGCCTCTTTGGCAACATGGAGCAGTGGGCTGGCAAAAGCAACACTGCTCTCATGTGTCCTTGAAAAATACAGGTACAGTGAAGGCCACACATCCTTGTACAATGTGGGAAAAACAATCTATTCATGTTGTCTGCTTAAATTGCCTCACTCCCTCAAGTGAGAAGACAATTTCACACATATTCTATCACTGTAAATGCGTGAAATTTTCCAGTAAGAGTGTTCAGTTCACTTATCTTCATTTCTGAGCTTAGAGGCTCTATATAAAGATACTCATAGCAGCTGGATGTTGACTGAAGTGTTAAAAACACATTTAACATTTGAAACCAGGTAAGCAAAAGTCATGCTAATAGTAAATCAGCCTCTCTCACCTTGATAATTTGTAAATAATTGAATGTTAGCAAGAGGTCCTGTAACAAATGTTCTCAATTAATGCATTTGGTATTTTCTGAAAAAGCTTATTAGAGAAGTGACCAGTTATCTAGCAATGACCAATCTATGACAAAGAAAAAAAGAGACAATTGAAGAGATATAAAACTTCTGATAACTGACTATAGAGCATCTTGAGAGATATAAATAGTATTCTATACCTTATTTTCTAAGCTATATGGAAAAAAAAAATAACCAAGTCCTAAGTAATGCACTGCACAATGACATTATTTTTCTCTGCATAAGATATGCTCAGCAAAAAATTGGCAGCTAGAATAAAAGACAGCGATCTTTACATACCAAAATTAGGCACTGGCAGCTCTGTTATTTGTGGATAAACTACCTTATATGAAAAACCCCTAGTATTACATAATTTCTTTCACAGAAAGGTGTTTCAAAAAAGGGACATGTCTGAGAGACAGCATTCAATATTGTTTCTGGACCCCTAAATGGGTTGGTATTCAAAGATGTATGGTTTCAAACCAGTACTAGGGCTTTAGATAACACTGGTAAGTATCTTCAAATCAAACAAAACTGCCTGTTTGTTGAGGCCAATACAAACCACAAGGAATTCCATGAGGCTACACTGCTAGCTGACTTATGGTCATTTCAAACAGCAGATCTTGAATTTCTAATAGCCATCTGTAAAAATATTTACACCGACAAAACAACTCAATACATTCAAATAAGAAAGAGACCCATGGAAAAATCAGGACATTTGACCCTACTTAGTTGCACAGCAAGTGCATCATAGAGCTTCCACGTTGCTTACAGCAGTGGTGAAGTTTTCCCTCAGAGTGGGTTTGTTTAATTGAAGATTCTGCCAAGAGTCTATGAACAATAATGCCAGTTTTTGGCTTGCCCCCAAACAATGCAGAGTTAGTGAGATGGCAGGCAGCCATCTGCTGTGCTCACTGTGGAAGTAGCAAATGCCAAGATAAGCTCTGAGGCATTCATAATACAGATGGACATAAGCCATTCCAGATCAATAGAAGTATTCATCCTATTACTTAAGCCACACACCACTCAAATTCAATTGTTAAAATCTGCATCTTTCTCAGGCTTTTAACCAAACTATAAAAGTGTGTTCTTCTACCATTACACAGACAAACCAATGACAAAGGAGGCCTCCCAGAGCTTACAACTAAAGAACAATTTGTAGCAGGTTTATACAAGCTTGAGTTTGATACAGCCTCTTACTGGAAGAGTCTGGGCTTGAATCCCTTCTACCACCACGCTGATGTGAGTATTCCTTTTTTCCTCTACTTCAGTTGCAAAGAATAAAGATATTTAATATGTGTAGACTTCAGTTACTAATTGCATATGTTGAATTTAATATTCACTTTAAAATATTTTCATATTAACACTTTAAATCCACGGTCTCAAATCTTTGTAGTAACAGTCATGACAGAACATAGTTACTAGCTACCCCACAAATCTCAGACCTCCTAGATGCATTATTTATGGAGAGGTTTTCAATCCTTCTACCTCTACTTAAATCCATGATTGTTTTCGTAATTACTCTAAGTATCAGAGAGACAACAAGTGGAGTACTCTGTGAAGTCCCCTGAAAAGCACTGATCTGTATTTTGGAGGCAACATTCGTATGGCTACAGACAAAGTTTGTAATTTAGATTTTTATAGAAACAAAAGTATGTACTACATTCTGGATGCTTGGAGCTCCAGTTTACAACTGAAAAAAAAAATGTACAACATGCCTCTTTAATTTGCTTGGGACAAATAAACTGGTTAGAGAAACGTGTTCCAAATCAGGTACTGCTGAAGGATTTGGGGACTGTCTTCTTCCCCTCAACAGCATATAACCTTTCAGTAGCAGCAGCTCTGTGTTTGTTGTTTGTTAAATTGTGACAGATCTGCTTAGCTGTTCCTTATCTCCATGAAGAAAAGGTGGCAAACACCTGGATTAAATTCTTTTTCTTCCTGAAACAAATGAAAGATGACCTTCTTATACTAAACAACAATGAAGGTTAATGGCTTTGCCTTCTGTGGGAACTGAAATAAAAAAGTGAAGATTTACAGGATGCAAGAAAATTGATTGTATATCAAGATAATGGTTGACTGGAAATTAATTTAATCTACGGTGCAAGAGCCTTCTTTCTTAAAAATAAGCCTCAGTAGGGAACACATTTTGCTCAGTTCACTGGTTGTTTAATATTCATCTTTTTTATTAATGTTGAAAGGAGCACAAGCTGTGCATCACAGAATGCTATTAAACTGTCTATTTTAAAAGCTGACGCCGCTCATCTCGCAATACAAAATAATGTATAATGTGGAGTGAGAAATCAAAGGACAGGATGTGCTGGTCAGGGAGATGTTAATAGGGCTGTGATAAATCATTCATATATAAGGTTATTATCATGCTGTGGCCAAATAACTAATGCAATCCCTCTCTAACTACCAGATTTTGAATCAGAACTAAAGAAACTCATTGTTTTACAATCTGGCCTAATGATAGCTAGTGTAGCGCTGTTTAATTCTGTTCCTTGAAGTACAGAACATGGTAAGAGCAACAAAAGCATTCCAACACTTGAAAGAAGGGGCTAGCTTTTTTTTCTTTTTAAATAAAGAAAATAAATGGGGTTCATAGAAGACCTTCATAATGAAACAATTAAAAAAGTCTTGCTATTTATGAGTACCAACAAGGAAATGCCAATTTGGATAATAAATAAATTTAATAAAGTCTTAAATAATGTGACATTTGTACATTTAATAAAGGGTATTTAGCCAGCAGAAAAACTGTGTTACAAGCAGTCACACTTCAGAGTGAGAATATTTCTGAAGTTTCATGTGAAGTTCCATACAATTATCAAAATGTTTCCATCTAGGCTTTTATGTAGAGATCACTTCTCATTTTGTCTTGTATGTGTTTTTTCTTTTTCCAGGTGGTGTTCACAGCTAATGATGCTGGTAATCGGCATTACAAGATTGCTGTTGTCCTCAGTCCCTTCTCTTACTCAACCACAGCAGTAGTTAGTGAGCCAGTGGAATAGAAGCTGACATTAGGCATGAAAATTCAGTTGTGTAAATTAAAATTTCCATAAATGATAAGAACTTAGCAGCTGAATGTATCAAGAGCTTTATATTTCATAGTAAATCATTAACAGTTGGTTTTTTATTCACTTTGTTAACTTTAGGAAGAAAATGTATTGGCTTTGTTTTCAAATACTCTTTTGAATAAAAGTATTCTGCATTTCTCTATTGTCAGTATTGCCCTTCTGAGTAAAAGTTTAGGATTCAAAAAACCACATTAACCTCAGGAAAAAATGTATTGAAATTCCATTATGGGGGCTCTGAGAATAAGCCAATCTTCCATGAAGTTGATAAAGTAAATTTCTTCTTGCAAAGGACTTGAATAAAACATCTATGAAAGGTGTCTAACAAAAAGCAGGCAGATAGAAAATGCAATCCACCACTACCATCTCCTATGTTTTTTTAATGAAGCCCACAACAGATGAAGTCACATGGGATTATTTACCCAGGGCCCCACAGAATCATGTATTTGCAGAAAATTTTGCAAATATTGTCCCAAATTAAAGTACTCCCCAGAATTACTTGCATACCTCAAACCATCAGACATTTTCATAATAGCTGTAAAATGCAAATAAAAATAAGGATACCTGATGAATCCTGAGAAAATCAGTTTCCTATTTAATGCCAGCAGAAATATGGATGAATCTTTCTATTCCCATTCTAGTAATTCCTATATAGGGAAGAACCACTAAAGGATTCAACAGAATAGTAACCCTGTCTTGGAAAAGTATGCAAAAAGTCTGAGCCACTTAGCCTAACAAAACCAAAAGCTGAAAGCCTGTAAATACAAAAAAAGAGAAAACACCCTGCTACCCTAAGGCTTGATCCCATCACAGCCTACCCTGATGAATTTGAACAAGTGTGTCCTTTCTTTTTGCTGTCACTTTGGGGTACTGAGCACTAGAAAAATGAGGATTTTGTCTAGAAACAAACCACAAAGATAATATCTTTTCCACAGAATCTCAGAATAAACAAACCAACACAATCTTTAGAACATTATATTTCATAAAAGACAATGATAAAAAAGTACAAACATTTTCATGAACAACAAAAAAACCCAAAACTATGATAGTACACAGGAAATTCCCAGCATTTGTTTCAGTGCATTTTTTCATTAAGCCTATCTTACATACCTCTACAAATCAAATAATCTTAAGTACACTTCTGCTTGCAGATATGCAATGGATCTTTTTAATTTTTTTAAACAGTTGGCTCATTAGTAACCCACTACAACAATTAGTAAACATAACAATAGAAAAATAGAATGGCAAGATCCAAGAAAAAGAACATTTTGCACTTACTTTTCAATACACTGCCTATTTGCAAAATTGACTTTATATTTCATACTCTTCTAATTAAATTTGAAATATAGAAAATGGGCTTGAGAGTATCTTAACATATTAATCAGATTCTACTCTTGAAATCTCTGTAATGTTCTTACTTGCTAATTTGCAAGACCTTCAGAATCTTGTAAAATACTCTCTTCTTCTTCTCCCTCCATGTTCACTCCTTGAAGATATCCCTTGTTTGCCTTGTCAGCAATACAAAAGCCAATGTGATTGGCTTCTCTCTACATGTTTCAAGAATCATGAAATTATCAAAAGGAATGTGCACAACTCTTAGTTCTGCATCGTATTTATTTTGTTTGAAGGCACTGTCTATGTTAAAATTCACTACAGAAGAGTGCTGAGTTCAAACAGGTAGTATGCAAATACTATTTTGATGTAATTTAAGATGGCAACTTCTAAAACTTCCCAACAAAGTGATAAAAGGTATTTAGAGAAGAGTGTTGGTCAACAATTCATAATTCAGCATCCATCATATTGGGGCACCAAAATGCAAACTTTTTAAGAACTCAGCTATATGTCACAATCCATTCACATACTGGTGTAATTCACATTTTTCTAGGACCATACATGATCAATCACTTAAAGCTGTAAAGTTATATTAGTTCAGCCACAGCATATGTGTAATATAGTATGTATATATGTAAGTATATATACATATATACGCATTAGATTTTTTTTAATTGCACATAAATTTCACAGAATGCCTAAGAAATGGGAACAAAAGCATGCTTCAGAAAATAGTACAGACCTATGGTACTAAAGAATGTTTCATAATCACAGGTGTGAAATTGTAGGTAAACCTGTACTGAAAACCAGAAATCACTTCAAAATTACAAGAAGGATTTAAAAAATTATTCAACTCCTCTTAAAGAACTGTATTAGTCTTCTATGAAATAAGACTAATTTTATTTTGAAGATATAATTGTTCATACAGTGTATTATCTCGCCTGTCTCCATATGCTTCAGAACGTTCTATACACCCAGTTATAGAAAAATCTATCAGGAGGAGAGCAAACCACTTAAGCATGCTTTTGAAGGATGTTTTCTTCACTTTATGCTTTTAGTTATTTTAATTGTATTACATCATTCTTAAAGTATATTAGATTAACTGGTATATATTAAGGTAATTCCAGTATGGTATAAAATATCTCTTACAATTGTTCTCAACTACTAAATTAAATAATAATATTTCTACTAAATATTTGGGATGCCTGTAACTAAGCTCATAACATTACTGAAGGATGGATAAGGGCAAAATTTGCTGCTGGGATGCCAAAGAAATAAAAAGTGTTTATGGCAAACAAACTTAAAATATATAAAGCACCACACCATCTGTGGCAGCAATTCAGGAAACCAACATATAGTAATGACTTAAAGTTAGGATTCTTCGTCAACACTCTTACAGAACACTCTGGATAAACAATCCTTATTATATATACTGCTTTCCATTCTTTATGGGAGCAGAAGTCAGTCTTTGGTTCCTAAAGAGTTGAGTAACTGTGAAAAACAAAACAGTTTAGTATATCTTGGTCACTATATTTGCATTAACATAGAAAATAAATGACCTGGTCCTTTTCCTTTGTATTAACAAGGGATGTAAAAAAATATTAGGAAATATAATAATGCTTAGCAGTGGGATACTTTTAGGTAGCATAACATTACAAGCAAAGAGAAAATAAGATAAGGAAAGAGGCTAGTTACTCATACATTTAACACCTATTAAAAATAGAGAAATAGACAGGACCAATCCTTAGCGGGACTGTGCAACCTCAATCTCATTGACAGTCATTGACTTGAGGATCCTCAGTGCATCATAGAAGCACTCAGCACTCTACCAGAATAGGCCCTTAAATAGCTATATTGAATAATATATTATGAGTGGGATTTTTAAAAGCCCTTGAGATTGGCCTGCTTTCTGTTCTGCTTATGTCATCACCATCCTCATCAGCAGAACAGTGTGACCAACACCATGCTTCTGAGAATCCCACACTGCAAACATTTGAACTATCAGAATTATGTTTTATTACTCTCTTAAAAATCTAACTTTAATATTCTTCCAATGAAGACACATTTTTGGCTCTTCTGATTTTGGAGGAATAAAAGTGCTGTTTACTAGAATTAAAAAAAAAAAACAACCAAACAAAAAAAGGAACAATACCAAAATACTGTATGCACCCAGACACATTGTTTTAGGCATTAAAATCCCTGACATTGACACTAGTGGCACACTTGGAAACAGTTAAGAGTTCCTGTAGATCATAATATGCAACAACTGCAAGATTTTCTGTAATACACATGCAATATGCATATAAATACGATTCAGATGGCAGGCAGGGTATCATACAATTTTGCTGGCAATAAATAAAATCAAAAGCTTTTTTTCTAGCAGGTTCATATAAGAATTTGATTTTTCTAAATAGATATGCAGAAGGCCTAGAGCTCAAAACTAGTATAACAGTTTACAGTCATAGCTGGCCAACAATTAATATTTCCTTCATTTCACATAAGGTATAACCTTTTTATAAGCATACTTACATTTTACACTTGTTCTTTCATGCTAATAAAAACATTCCTATAGAATTCAAACAAGAACACACTCAAATACATACTGAAGCATAAAATATTGAACAACTGAAAAGCAATGTACACACATTAATTTACATCACATATTTACAGAACACATTTTAAAAAGAAACAAAAGCATTCATTTAAATATGAGGAGGGGCAGTTTAAGTATAAAAAAATTCCTGGAAGAGGCCTCTGTCCTTACTTCCAGAGAAGCTACAAGTCTGTTTTCTGCAGTTTATTTAGTTGAGTAGTTAAGAGAGAGTGTGAAGAATGAAGGCTTGAACAGTAGTCTCATGCTGTAAACATCTGAGTAGTAGCTGCTGGCTTTTCTTTCAGATCTAAATGCATGGTACATACAATCACTTCTCATCCCAAATATGCATCATCAGTTGGTCAAAAAACTCTAATTCTAAGCTGTTGTTTGTTGGTTTTGTTTTGTTTTACAGTGTTTATCAGTAGCTTCCAGTGTTAAAAGTTTATTCTGGTAGGATATCTTGCCATTCCACTTCCATCAATAGTCTCTAACAGGAGCAAGTTCTGGTAGGAGATTAACAGTTATATTTTTATACAATCTACTGACAATTATTTTAGGAGTATATACTAAATTGTTCAACCCATCAATATACTGACGTTCTCTGGAATACCTCAGAAGTTTGTACCTGCAGAAGGAGTTGGGAGAAGAGATATGAGAAAGATTTGCAAGAAACAATTCAGTTGATGTTAAACATGATACTGTGACAGTTATTTAATTTTTAAATATACCTTAAATTCTGAAACCACTTTTCAGGCCCTTGAAACTACCAAATAACCTACCTTATGTTTAAAAGCAAGCTTTTTAATACAGTTAAATTTTATGGTCACATATACAAGTTAACATGAAGACTAAATAACAGAGGAAGCATTCAATATGTAAACATTTTGTGGTCACAAACTATGTAGATTTTTTAAAGATTATTCAATTTCTTCATGTTCTTTTGCTATAAAACTCAACTAAGGAGTTCGGGGAAGATTTAGGAATCTTCACAATTCTTCACTATACATTAAAATGTCTGAAATTATTTTCGTTTCACTCTTGAGACTCCTGCATTTGCAAACATCTAAATTTGAGGTTAAAATAAAGTTCCCCTCCCCCAGATTATCCATATATATTTTTTTTTTTAGTTTCCTATAACAGATTGACTAATCTCTACTGTACACGCCTATAATTTTATTCATAATTCAAAACTGTGAATAAAAGAGAAAATATA